TCTAAGTAAAGCTTTAATTGTTGTGTGCAATAGTTGTGTTTTCATAGAATGAATCAGATCTCAACTTATTTAAGCCACAGTGGCTGTAAATCAACCCAGAGTGTCCAGTTCAAGTTTGGACAGGGACCTTTTCAGTGTAATCAGGCTCTTCAAAAATGATCCAGGAGTGTGATTGCCTTCGTCTGGAGCTTTCAAGCCAGCGTCATGATCTTTCTTAGCGAGTGGATTTTGCCAAGTCGTCATCACGAGGCCATAATGTGCGTCTGTAGTCGTGATCATACACCTGAGCAAACTTATTTCACTGAGGAAGACGAGTGTGTGTCTGAAAACAGTTTATCTTTTAGTTAAGGTTTCTTTCTGCTCATTAAGCTTCGAGTGAAGACCTCCATGTGACTGCACAGAGCCGTTTAGAAAGAGCACATCGCTCGGATGTAAATTTGTGCTTGTTTCAAACGTTCCAGGATGTCAGTGAGTTTTCCCACAAGCTGCTCGACTGGCTGGAGGACGCCTTTCAGCTGGCTGCCAAAGGAAAGTAAGTTTAATGTCGTCCACATGCGTGTTTCTGCTCCTCTTCACTGGATGTCTGTCTGCCGAGTTACTTAAAAACAACCTCATGTTTGACTTTTAGTAACGCAGAAGACAAGCAGAACAACCCCATGGTCCAGCTGTTCTACGGCACCTTTGTGACGGAAAGAAAACACGAGGGTAAGAGTCCTGTGAGCGTTTCTGTCGCGTCGCTGTCACTGTAAATTCCATTCTCGGTTGCTCACAAGCGTTTGACTCCGTTCAGGGAAGACGTTGTGCAACATCGAGCAGTTCGGTCAGTATCCGCTGCAAGTCAACGGCTTCAACAACCTGGACGAGTGCCTCGAAGGTGCCATGGTGGAGAAGGAGATCGAGTCCCTGCATTCGGACCACGGCGTCACGTTGGGCCGCGAGGTGAGCAACTTCTACCAAACACGCTCGCTTGCTGTTTGTCAAAAAAAAAATCTCAGGGCCTGCTAAGGAAGTCGTGTGTTTTCTCTTGGTTTGCAGAGATGGTTCAAAAAGCTTCCACCAGTCTTGACATTTGAACTTTCTAGATTCGAATTCAACACCCAGCTCGGGCGCCCGGAGAAGATACACAAGAAACTGGAGTTTCCTCAGATCATTTACATGGACAGGTGAGTTTTGTACAGATAAAAACCTCATTCAGGTTTACTTTGGGGAAAAGGAGGAGCTTCTACAGTAGGTTAACTTTAAAGGAAACCAACTTTCTCCAACAAATTTATGGCATCAGATTCAAGGAGGGAAGAAAAAAACGAGGCTTCGGCTGTTTTTTCTGTGTCCAGATATCTCCACAAAAACATCGAACGGACCCACGAGAGGAGAGGAGAAGTGAAAAAACTCAAAGAGCAACTTGCAGTCCTTCAGCAGAAGCTTGAGTGGTGAGTAGAGGAATGTCCGTCTAACGAGGACAGATCTTGCTCTTATCATCTTTTTTTTATTCACAGTTATAAAAACTACGGCTCAGGACCGACCAAGTATCCTCTGGCTGACATGCTCCAGTTTGTGCTGGAGTTCGCCACCACCAAGCCCTCCAGCGTTTCCCCGGCTGAAGACTCGAGGCTGGCCACGTCTTCGCCGACTCCTGCAGGCCTCGGCCTCGGCGAAGGCATCAGCAAAGATACCAGGTGCTTTAAGCTTTTTCTGCCATTTCTATCCGGAACAAATTAATTAGTGGGATCTTAGGACTAAGATTGTCCCTTAATGGATGCAGGAAATCATTTATGTTCTCTGCTGATAACTCCAGTCTTATTTCAGCAGACTTAGTCATGCACCATATTTATGTATTATTGCTCTCTGTTGTGCAGTTTATTGCAGTATGTTGTGTAGTTTAGTTTTTCTGAGCAATATCTACCACAAGAGTCTTGTCTAATTAAAAAAAAATTATTTTGAGACACAGGTTGCTTCTATGCAACACTTCATAACTCCTCTTATAGTTTGAACCGATCATATTGAACAGATTACATTTTTTGTCCAAAAAAAAAAAGTCCCACAGCTGGATAAATATCTCTGACATTATTTTTTAAATTCTTCACATCTAAGTTGTTGCTTGAAAGTTACAAAGAACGCCAGAAAAAATCAGAAATTATTCTAATATTTCATGTGTGTGTTGAGAACTTGGCTGGACTGTACCATTATTAGCACCACGGGGGAGTCTTCAGTCAGCCACAGACTGAAGATTATGCAATAACTTCTCAGCTACTGTACACATGAGGTCTCAGACAACATAGTGTCTGTAAAACTATACTCATAGTGTTTGTCTTTGATGTCTTTCAGTTTATTTATTCAATTATTTAGTCCATTACTTCCTTTATTTTAATTCATTTATTAGCCTGTAGGCTATTTTTGAGCATTTATGTTATTATATAAACACTGCACACAGTCACACACCCTCTGGTTCAGGTTCGACTGCGTTGCTGACTCTGTGGCTGGATGTAGGCGACTCCCACAGGTGCTCAAGTGCAAAAAGCTGAAGTTGAATTTTTAAGCAACATCCCAAATATGAACAATTAAAACTTAAACTGTACACTTGTGGCAGTGGCTGATGGTGTAACCACCTGGTTTCCTCGCTCTCCTCAGTGAACCTGGGGAGTCAGATTCCTCGGAGGGGATGGTTTCCAGTGTTTCCAGTTGCCAGCGGACGCCTATATACAAGCCCTTCACCCAGTGCCGATGCCCCATCGACTGCCCGCCGCACCCGGCCCCCCACAGCATCACCGAAGAGGAGCTGCACTTTGTGAAAACCTGCCTGCAGCGCTGGAGAACCGAAGTAGAGAATGACATAAACGGTATGCTAATGAGCACGCTGGTAATACACACACTGACATCGATTTTAACGCTGTGTTAGATCCAGATTCAGTCATTTTTGCCTCATAGGAGAGAACACGGGCTCCAGTGCGCTGTGGTCACTGGATGGCCTGACGTTCAGAGCTGGACACGCATGTGCAGCGGCTTTATTTAGAGTTTCTTCACTGCAAACAGCTGCTAGCTCGGCTTCAAACAGGGTTCACGGGTGCGACGAGAGTGCAAGAGTCGAGCTGCGGACCGTAAAACCAAAATACGCACAGAGCAGAGAGGGGTTCTGATTCTCTTTGTCACTACAAGGAGCACCTTTTATTTTACATGCAGACATTTGAGCAATTTGTGATCAAGACAGATGACATGTTTGTCGCTATTTGATTTAACAACATGCATTAGAGACATCATCCAAACATGTCACACATATATTACAGCAAACGTCCTCACCCCTGGCTGCTGTCATAGTTGTCGATTACTGTACTTAATTATATTTATATTAGCACTAGCTGCAAAGTACTGTAGCAAAGAAAAGGCATCATAATGACAAAAATATTAATAATGAAAATAATAATAACAGAAACAAAAAGAAAAAAGTTAAATGAATTAAAGGAAAATAATTATAAACACTAAAATAAAAGAGAGTAATAATTTCAAATATATAATAATAATAATCGCCAATTATAGGACTAAATTATCTTAGCAATAACTACAAAATAGTGTGGCTCATAAGAAGCTAATAAGGAGGAAGAAGGAGAAGAAGAAGAAGAGACTTAAATGAAGTATTTATTATTATTTATCAGTTGTACTACTTAATTTAACTCATACGAGTACAATTTTTAAAGTAATATTAAATTATATATATAAATTAATAATAATATTTGCTGTTGTAAAAATTGCCAATTATAGTACTTAATTATATTAAAACCAACTAAAAAATAATGTGAAAAAGGTAAAAAGTAATAAGAGGAAGAACTAAACGCTAAAAGGAGTTAAATGAAATAAAACGAAATAAGAAGAAAATCATACATATTTTACAACAAACCACATCCTCATCTCTTGTAATAATTGTCGGTTGCAGTATTTAATTATATTTGCACTGACTACAAAATAATCTCACACAGAAAATGCAAAATATAACTAAACAAGAGAGGAGTTGAGAGAGGCTGCATAATATTAATAACAAAAACTAAAACGGAAAATTAGCCAAATGATATAAAAGAAGACTCAAATATAAATAAAAAGGGGTGGGGGGAGTTTCTCCAGATCATAGATTGTAAGATGAGAAATTTAAGAAGCAGAAGCCAAAGTTTGAATAATCAGCTGGTGCAAAATGTGGTTTGACGAAGAAATGACAGAATTTTTCTTCCACTTTGGTGCAATAAAACATCTGGTTTATAAATAAAATCAATGGTACAGGTCTGTGTGCTCCAGCAGCCTTTCCCATTCTGAGCCAAACCATATCAGTGTGTCTCTAAACTACACATCATTTTTGTATTATTAATTGTCGAAGTGTTTTCTTGTTCTTGGTGCGTCTGCTGCAGAGCTAAAGGCCAGCATCGACAGGCTCACTCAGACGCTCGAGGGCATGTACTCGGACAACAGCCTCTGCCAGGTAAGGCTCGTCTAATTTACTCTGACAAACGGCGATTCAATTACATATTTTACATCCAGAGCTGCGAAAAGCGCATCGGCCTGGATTAGATTAAACTTTATCGATCTCCGCGGAGAAACGAAACAATAATGTAATATAAACAGCGCGACAGAATACAAATAAGAGCAGGTCAGCCGAAGGTCACGCTGCAGTTAATTGAGAGCTGCAGCTTTTGTAGGGCCTCGGTTTTTGTTTGTTTGTTTTATACAGTTTCTTGACTTTGCTCTGACTTAGGTGCCCTACAGACTCCACGCGGTGCTCGTCCACGAGGGCCAGGCGTCGGCGGGGCATTACTGGGCTTACATCTACGACCACGCCAACCAGCGCTGGATGAAGTACAACGACATAAGCATCACCGAGTCGTCTTGGGAGGAGCTGGAGAGAGACTCCTTCGGGGGGATGACCAACGCCAGCGCCTACTGCCTCATGTACATCGACGACAGGCTGCCTCACCTCATCACAGGTACAACTACACATGTACAATACTGTACGGTACTGTACGATAGGATACGATAGGACATGATAAAATATGATGAGATAAGATAAGCTAGGATAGGATAGGATACGGTACAATGTGATAAGAAAAGATGCAATAAGATATGACAAGATAATATAAGTGAAGATGCAGTAAGATTTAATACGATAAGAGAAGATATGATAACATATGATATAATACGATGCGAATAGATGCCATAAGATACGGTAAGATAAGATACAATATGATAAGAAAAGATACAATAAGATATGACAAGATAATATAAGCGAAGATACAATACAATACAAAATGATTCGATAAGATGAGATACAATAAGATAAGATACGATGCAATATAATATGATATATAATACGATATGATAGGATAAGAAAAGATACAATAAAATATGACAAGATAATAGAAGCGAAGATACAATAAGATACAATATGATACGATAAAATGAGATACAGTAAGATAAGGTCTGATACAATACGATAAGCAAAGATACAATATGACACGATACAATACTATACGATAAAATATAAGATTCAATACGATAAGATACGATAAAATAAGATACAATTAAATACGATAAGATGAGATACGATGTGATACAATAAAATCTGATAAAATACGATACAATAATATACGATAAAATATAATAAGATTCAATACGATAAGATACGATACAATACAATAATATACGATAAGATATAATAAGATTCAATACGATAAGATACGATACAATACAATAATATACGATAAGATACCATACAATAACATAAGTGAAGATAAAGTACGATAAGATATGCTAAAACACGATAAGATGATAGGATACGATGAGACTGAAGTAGAAATTCAGATATTACACAGAACTAATGTGGAAAGTCACGATATTGCGCCGGATTCTTCTATATGTAGGAAAACACAGAGTCCTCCGTGAGTAGAATAAAAAAAGATGCTGCACGCATTCCTTTATATGTAGAAAGAAATGTATGTTAAACTATACTTAATAAATGTGCAAAATATTCATAACACACAGGTCTGGATGCCTTGATGTTGCAATCAAATGAAATATATCATAAAGGAATGTACAGCTAAAAAGATAAACGTGTTTGATCCCTCACTGGGATCATTTACATGTTGGAGCAGCCGAGGCATGAAAGAATCAAGGCAAGACTGAATAATGTACAATAAGGCTGAAAATAAAGATATAATAAAGACAATATAACATACAAGGCATGATGAAGTTACAGACGGATATGATAGGATAGATAATGTACCCAGCATTTCTGTTATTGCAGTTAAAAATGCTATTGAGAGAAAAGGTCAGTGTTAACATGATCTTACTACACATGAAGAGCCGTTAGACGACAGTTTTGCAATTTTCTTGTTGCTTTATATGGGAGCAAACAGTGTTTCATGATGTTTTAAAGGTAGAACATGAGTGTTTAGTTGTGTATTTCAGCTTCTGGTAGTGGGATACAGCACAGTGGATGTATGCACAGCAGGTATCCTTATTAAGAAGTTCTTATTTGCAAGCAGGAGGCAAGATTAAGGGTCACAAAATAGATCTTTATTCAAATTGATTTGGCCCCAACATGCCTGATTCAGTTAAGGTGGAATGAAAACCACACGCGTTAATGCAAATTATAGTAATTTCACTCTGTTTAAGTAAGTACTATTACATTGTTTTGAATATTAAATACATTTTAAGTACAGTTTTATGTTAAAAGTGCAGATTTGTATTGAATAATAAATCTACAGTAGTTTCTAATGTTCAGTGTGAACGCTTGAGGTCACTACATGAGTTTTATTGTGTAACTCCACTGACTAAAAATGCCTCCCGTTCAACCAGAAGACACAGACGACGAGACCGGCCAGGCGCTCCACGGCATGGACTCGCTGCCGCCCGTCCTCAGACGCTACGTCCAGGAGGACAACCGCTGGTTCCAGCAGGAGCTCAGCGAATGGGAGGAGCAGTTCTGCCAGACGGCCACCGCCCAGGAGGAGTCCACCACGGTGTCCGCAGAGCCCCCGAGCCCCGGTCTGGACGGCGTGCAGCAAACGCCCGTCGAGCCAGCGCCCCAGTCGGGACCGGCCGCTGAAGAGCCGGACCGGGAGGCTGCTTCAGAGACGCAGCCGGACCCGGAAGCAGAGAAGGATCCAGAACCCGAGTCCACAGAGAAGAGTGAAGGTCTGTAGAGAGTAAACGGGGATGAGATGTTTCTATAAACCTGCAGGAAAGATGCACAACAGGTTCCAGTTTCCATCTTGAAACATTCCTACACACTGGAAGTGTTTATATCATGACCTATAACCAGTTCATTAGAGCTGCTGCTAATTTGACTTTGCAAATCTTTCAATCTACATGTCGCCCACTGAACCACCAGGTCACATAAATGTGGCTTCTGATCTGATTTCTGATTCTGAAAATACTTTATAGAACTTTTTCCACATATGCACAAATAAGTATTGCCTACGTTTATTTAGTGGAAACAGGTCCGACTATCATGTGGACATTCTGTAGTATAAAACAGAAAAGTACAAAATCCAGCAAGACGTCAGTTTAGGCCTGAACTGGGACTTTTTTCTTGATGGGGGATACAATGACAGATTTGTGTTAAAAGGCTCCAAAATATAATAAATCCGTCAATAAATATATCTTGTTTTATTCACAGGAGAAGAGACTCAGAATAGAGATGAATCTAAACTTCGACAAAGGATTACTGCTTAGTTAGCCCATATTTGATTAAATTCCCCAGAAAAAGTAGGAAAACCATCTTATTAAACTGCCTATAAAAACGCTCTATCTGGTCGTGTCCAGGCATCACTTGTTGCTGATTTTCTGCAGAGCTTTCTCAGCTTTGTCAGACAGAAGCATCCACAGACTGACAGACTCGTATTATTGCTTACAAATGGCAGATAGGCCCTCTGCTATCAGATCAGATTAGATTATCAGATGATTTGATGAAGAACGTTTCCTTTCCTCTGTGCCGACTCTCTCTCCTTCTTTGACCCCAGAAGAGTCGCAGTTATCGCCTCCACCAGCAGAGAGCGCTGGCAGCCAGCCAGGCGACGCCAGCAGCGCCGCGGTCACCGACACCCTGGAGCCCAGCCAGAGCTCCACCTCAGCGGAGAAGGAGCTGCAGAGCCAGGTGGGCGAGTCCGCGACACCCCCCTCCACCCGGTCTGTGTGATATGGGTCAGAAATTCTAGGCCGCATAAATAGAGTGTGTACATCTGGGTCAAGGATCCCATTTCACCAGTTAGCATTGTGACGGAGATTCGGGCTTAATGTCAGCGCTGAGTGTCGAGTCGTTCGCAGATAAAGTAAAGGTCGCTGCTGCGGTCGATGCTGGACAGTCAGAGGCTTGTTCACAGCTAAATTGTGTCATTTATGCTTTAATTTTCTGTTTTTGTTGTGGTGAAAATATTAAATATAACATGTAATAAAAGCAGCTTTCTGTTTATTCATTCAGGATTTAGTCATCAGTCAGATCTGTCCAGGTTCATTCCTCACTTGTTCTTCTATAAATACTCATATTTTCATGAGGATGATAAAGTAGTACATAAAGACATGCTATTCAATCCCTTCTGGGATACTTAGACACCCTCAAATCCCTACAAATGCTAAACAGACGTGATGATGGCTTAATTAAAGGCCTAACGATGTGCATTGTCAGACTGCTGGCCCTGACGCAGAGCCCAGTAACGAGGCGCCGTCTGACCTCGGCGTGGAGAAGGACGAGGCGGAGGTGGGAGGCCTCGGCTCCGGAGCTGAAGGTGAGCCGGAGGCCTCCGGAGACGCTGCCGATGTCGGGCAGGGAGACGAGGAGCAGCGGCAGGAGGCTCCGGCCAGACAGCGACAGACCGAGAACGAGGTCTCGGAGGTGGAGATCCCCAACGTGGGCCGGATCATGGTGAGGGCCGACGCCGACGGATACAATGAAGAGGTAAGAGCACCGTGAGGCAAGAGTTCAGCTGCTTATACTTATGCTATAGTTGTAGCTGCATCATTGTTTTAGCTCCCAAATATAAAGTACACTGTAGAATTTACAGGTAGCATTTCTTGGTTTGCTTGCAGGCAGTGTGCAGTGTCTCATTTCTTTCCTGCGTTGCTGTGTTCCTCCCCAGATGATGCTGACTCCAGCGATGCAGGGAGTCATTCTAGCCATAGCCAAGGCAAGACAGACGTTTGACAAGGAAGGCCCCGAGGCAGGCCTCATCAGGGTACGTCACACTGAACACTGAATTACAGCAAATCCCTGAATGACTGATCTGCTTCTGTTCAGCCGAAGACAATTTAATTGTTCGCTTTTTTTTTTTTCTAACTACAGTTTTGGATATTTATTTATTAAAGTCCAGACATGAAACACAAAACTATGCGTTTTGAGGAACTGAGGGTCAGAGGTTTTTTAAAGACGTCTGTAACTGATAAAGACTTTAATTACCATCAACCGCAGTGTTTCAGCTTTAAGATTACAACATCAAAAAGAAGACAAGCACCTTAACCTTGTCTCTTGACCCGTGAAACCAAGCATTCTCCACATTTTACCGACAACAAAACTATCATCACGTTGGTATTTGTTTGCCATCTATGAGCATTTTGGGAAACTGAGACATTGCAATTCCTCCGCGGCTCTTTCAGGCCTTCCACGAAGAGTATTCCCGCTTGTACGAGCTCTCCCAGGAGGAGGCCACGCCTCAGGAGGACGCCCGTCTGCAGCACGCTCTGGTCTACTTCTTCCAGAACAAAGCGCCCAAGCGTATTATTGAGAGGACGCTGCTTGAGCAGTTTACCGACCGCAACCTCAGCTTCGACGAGAGGTGAACGCAGATAACAGCCGAGTGGCTCCGTGATGATTGCTGGACGTGTGTGTGTGTGTGTGTGTGTGTGTCGTGTGTGTAGGTGTGTGTGTGTGTGTGTGTGTGTGTGTGTGTGATTGGATCAAGTTGTCAGAAGTTGTTTCATGAGAATACACATGAGTTGTTGTCACAATCTAAGATGAAACTGGCACTAAAGAAGAAAATGTACAACGAAACCAGAGATAAGAGAGAATCGTCTCTAGGATATATGTATATTAGGGATGCACGATATATCAGCGACCACATTGGTATCGGCCGATATTAATGTTTTTTCCAATATATCGGTATCGGTCCGATGAACAAATTTAGCTGATGTGAAAAACCGATGATTGTCAAACATCAGCGCCTTCGCCTTTACATCTAATATTGCTGCTATTTCACAGATGTTTTTACTTAAATGGTCTTTAACGCTAAATACGTTAAAATATGTTTAAATTGTTTTACTTTTGTTACATAATAAAGAAGACTATGTGGTCTAATTTGGACTTTTTTTGAATAGTTTTCTCACAGTGCTTGCTTATACTCATTTTTCATTGTGAACAAAAATTGAATATTGACATCGGTAATATCGGCAATATCGGCAATATCGGTTATCAGCGATATCAGAATTCCTAACATCGATATCGGCCAGAAATTTTAACATTGTGCATCACTAATATATGTATAGTAAAATATAATAAAATGTGTAATAAAAACAAGTTGTGAGGCGAAATAAAAAACATTAGGGGACAAGATAAGACAGCTTTTGTTTTTAAGTACAGAGGAAGAAGTGCAAATATAAGAGTCTATTAGAAGAAGTGGGGGTTAACTTATTATTCTTGTGACGACAGCTCACTGGATGTATTCAGAACTATAAAACCAGTAGCTGTGGCTGATGGTGCTCGTCTGGATATTGCACATTGCTGGACATAAAGTAACGGCTTCAGGTGGTGCAACAATGACGTACAGAGGGCAGCTGCATGTGAACATGTAGGTTCAGTAAATAAATACCAGGTGCATAAGGTGCAGATTCCAGATTCTGTAAATGAACAGTGAGTTGATTAAGTGAAAGTCAGTTTGGCAGAGTTCAGTTCTCTTACGTCTCTGCAGTAGAAGCTGTTTTTCAGTCTGTTTGAGAGGTTTCTGTCTTACATTTATGTGCACAGAGGAGTGAGTAAAGGGGCTTGATTGAGCAGAAACACTGCATGCAGCGTGCATGTTCTGCCATCTAGTGTCCGGAGCTGAGACCTGCAGCTTTTGTTCCTCTCAGTGCGGTTAAACCTCCTTTTTGTCCATGCAGGGCCATCAGTATCATGAGGGAGGCCCGAGCCAAGCTGCGCCTCATTAAACCAGAAGACATGGACATGGATGAATACCTGGTACTGTCTGTGGCCTCAATGGGTTCTGTGTTAAGAGCTCCCACGACTGTCTCAATCCACATTTAGCTTATTTTCTCTTGTACATTATTCATGTTTCTGGAGTTAATCTGTTCCACATTCACATATTTAGAGTGGAAATCAGTCTGCTGCTGTTGATCGCTTTAATTTCAGGGACGACGTAGTTAATCATCAATATGCACGTACAAAAAATATATATATATATTTTTTTAGACAGATATTTCTTTTAAAAAAATGTCATCAGATCCACCTCATTGAACAGAAATAGTCGAAAAATGCACCAGAAATGTGAGCATGCACTTAAAAATAGAAGTTTATTAGATTAAATAAAGGTTGTTACCACTGGATAAACCTCAGTGATAAAACGTGTCACTGTTAAAGTTGATCTGTGGACAAATTTGACTTTTTCTTGCAAAAATTTCCAACAACAACGACTTCTACCCATACAGCATGTGGTGTCAAACAGCCTGAACGTCTGTCAGATGTCACCGCGGCTTTGTGTTGAAGACTGCGTGGCCATAAAACCGCATTATTGTGTGGCTGTCGCCGCTTTATGATTATGTTGAGGACATTAAATCCCTGATGTGACGGGTTTATTTGGACCTGCACGGTTGGAAATCCAGCAGGAAGCGTGTAAACCCAGTGACATTTGGACACACGGGAGTGAGCGCCGCTATTCCGCCGGTGGAGCGATGGAGGCACCGATCACAGCCGAACCGTTTCCTACAATAATGTGGTGGAAATTTAACACCAAACTAACAGTCGTCCTCAGATTTATTAATCCCCTTCTTTTAAAGAAAATGCAAAATTCACAATAGTCACTCAAATAACTAGAAACTGAAAAAAGTAGTAATAAATAAAAAATTGCTAAATTATAATTTAGTGAAATAAGATGTTGCTTTTGAATTTTGGTTGAAAAGAAAAATTGGGGAAAAAAAAGTCCTAGACAAATGAGAGCACTTTGCTGATGAGCAGCGGGCCAGAATCCAAAAACCTGTCATTACTTTTATCAATTTCAACTTATTTCAGTGACAGCTCTTTATTTCTTTCTTTACTGGGAGGGTAGGAACACATCTGAGCACCACTGTAGGTCTTGTGATATTCTATATTCACTATAATATCACAATAATGTCATCTTGCAGAGTTTATTCCTCCATTAATCTACTGAAACACATCAATGAGCCACACTGCGTGAAACTGTGTTCTGAGTTGATCCTGCTCACACCATGCAAGCTGGTGCAGTTAAATACAATCACCAGCTGTTTTAGAAATATGACATTGATGATTTTTAATAGTATTTGTCTGTTTAAAAATGTTATATCTCTATTTAGAAGCACTGATCCTGGAGCTGAGCGCCATAATCAGGACAATCAAGTCAGAATGTAGCGAGAGATGGACTCGTCTGTGGCTGGTTTTGGTTTTTTAGTCGTTAATTTACAATAATAAGAATGTAGAATATTTCCAACTCCCTTTCAAATCAAACAGTCGTGCAGAGACCTGCAGCCCTCCGTTCTGAACCACCGCTGGAAAAAAGAAAAAAAAGAAAAGGAGCAAATGAGGTAAACGTTGTTTATTCTGTGTGTCTCTTCACAGCAGTGGCACGACGACTACAGGCTGTTCAGGACGGTGTTTGTCTACCTGCTGACCGGGCTGGAACACTACCAGCATGGGAAGTAGGTGTCGCACAAGCGGACCAGCGTGAGTCCGTCTGACTCCACCGCTGAAGCTCAGCACAAATAAAAGCCACACATCAGTGTAGAGAGGCAGAGAAACTTTAGACTTGAAGAACAAAGCAGTGCCTCAGATAGAATGAGGAGTCGTACATTTCTTGATGACGTTAACATGAATGTGAACATTTTAACTTTGGCTAGTGTTAGCATTTAGCTCAGAGCTTGTTCCCCTACAGCAGGGGTCTCCAATCCTGGTCCTCGAGGGCCACAATCCTGCATGTTTTAGATGTTTCCCTTCTTCCAACACACCTGGTTCAAATGATCAGGATCGTTATCAGGCTTCTGCAGAGCTTGATGATGAGCTGATCATTTGAATCAGGTGTGTTGGAAGAAGGGAAACATCTAAAACATGCAGGATTGTGGCCCTCGAGGACCAGGATTGGACACCCCTGCCCTACAGACTAACATTGACTGTGTTGTGCCTTTACCCTCTTTGAATGCTAAAAAACTTTAAATGACATTCGAGAGCTTATTACTGAACTAACAGTAAACATGATGAGTGTTCTGTAAGAATACCAGACATGAAGCAGATTGAATTTGTGACCGATAACCTGACAGAAATGCACATTGTGACTGTAAATCCATGTGTTTCTACTGGTTTTAATGACGCCTGAATGACATGCTGACTGACTTCTTGGTAACTACACACATTTTTGTTGTTTGCTGCAGGATGCGTGAGGCGTTGAACTACTTGGCCCACGCGTACGAGACCAACGGCAGCCTGCTGAAGAACGGAGAGAAACGCGGCGTGGACAAATCTCTCATTTCAGTTTACAGGAGGAAGTGTCTCACTGTGAGTAGAGAAGCTCTCAAAAACAATGAAAACTAAACAGTTATCTAGAAGAAGTGCATCGTTCGTGCAGAAGCGCGTTTGACCTGCACTAGTGGACAGTTTCGGGGACGTCCTCTGAAAACCATCGCTGTCAGTCTGAGGTTTTTGGATTGTATGACTTGGCTTATTGTTTATAAAGTGCAGTCAGACGCTATTAGGACAATATTCGACTTGCATCTTCTTGGGACTCCAGTATATTGAATTTGACACGGTGACCGTTAAGTGGACGTTCAGAATTCCTCCTTGAGCTTATGAGCTTTTGATTGCATCACTTTAACTTCAGCAAGTCCTCAAGGTGCTCAGGTGAGAAAACTGAGGCTTCCATAAGCTGAGGAGGTTCAGGTGATCAGACTGTTTTCTTACAGCGTTTTGTTCTGACTGTGCATCTTAAAGACTCCCTCCAGACGTGTGAAAACACTCTGCTCAGAATAATCATTTGTCTGAGATGTTTGTTTTACAAATAATACGTTAAAAATGAGTAAAAGTATATTTACTCCTTCCCCGTTGAAACATCCACAACTTGTGAATACACAGACGTGGTTCATAAACTTCACTAGAAACCTTGCATGAGTCCAAACTTCTGCGTCTCGCTTTCGATGGACTATTTATTCCTCACTGTTGATATTCTTCTGCTGATCAAATGCAAGAATTCATGATAAATATTCAAAATGTTAGCGTTCCAGTGAAACTATTGGTGCTCTTCCTCTGTTACTTGAGTCAAAGTTCCAACCTACCGGCACAAATTTGACACCTACTGGACTGCAGAGTGTCCTACATTCACTTTTTTCACTATTGAAATGGTTCCTGTTCTCACTGTTTGTACACTGGAGTTTACAAGTCGACCAGGTAGATCACCAGGTAGGATGTAGCGTTATGTTCTACACAAATACAGAGACGACCGCGTTTCTTCAAGGAATACTATAAACAGACAGTAAAGTGATTGAAGGACGCCTTTGCACATGTAAGTACGCATCTGGTTTAACTTTTTAACAAGCAAGAAGTTCTTTTGGCTTCAAGTTTCCACATCACATGTCTGTAAATGTCACACTGGAAGTCAGCCTAAGAGAAATTCATTAAATTAACATGATAGATCAAGTTTGGTCACTTTCTTGTAAATGTATGTCTGAAGGTGCACCAGCAGTTGATTTTAGGGAGGTACACCTCATAGACAGTAACTTAAACCATGTTCTCCATCTTTCTCCTGCCATCGACGGCCGCGCAGGCCTTAAACGAGAACGCATCGCGGCTGTTTTGCAGCGGCGAGGACGGCAAAGTGGAGGAGGGCGTCGGCATCATGGACGAGGTGGTGATTCCCTGCCTTCACCTGATGAGCCGAGACGCCTCCTTGTCCCAGGAGGACCGCGACGCCATGGAGAGCATCCGCAGCCACTGGTGCTGCTGCCTGGGCCAGGACATGGACGGTAGGTTCAGCCGTCGACGCATCAGCTCAGGACGTGTTGCACAGACTCCAATGAATGTGCTAGCACTGCACAGGACAGATAAAAAGTACAAAAACCATAGACTGTATAACAGATGGACGTAGCTACCGTGACGTCACCCGTTGGTTTCTGCACTGAGAAAATGAAGCCAGGGTTTTGCTACTTCCTGGTTAACATCTTGGATTTTTGGAGCCAGTGACGCAAAAATCGTTGGAGGGGGGCGGAGCCATAGGAGCAGCGATTGGTCAGACGGATTGAGAGGCGGGCCCTCTCTGCCCGCCCACATTTACCGCCTTCTGCTCGCTTCTTCTGTATGGTCGCTGCCAACTGTCAATCAAGCCAGCCACGCCCCTTGCCCCGCAAAATGTTGACGATTTTTTAAAAATTCAGTATTGATTTATTTTCAGATTGGCCACCTGATCTCTGGACTTGACCATGAAAACTAATTTTTAAAAAATCCTGAGCTGTAGGAATGCAGGATTTCGTGATCTGTGATCACTTCTTTTCCAATTCCAGTCTATGGGAGCCAGGGCTTTTTGGAGCCAGGACTAGCGGACGTAGTGATATTGCAGGTTTTTGACACTTCCGGGTTGGCTTCATTTTTCAGGGTCGGTTGCTACGTCCATCTTTTATACAGTCTATGACAAAAACATTGCTTGTCAAGTTTTCCTCCATTTGTATTCAAATATCCACGTTCTATATAATCATTTCTTTAGCATTATGACCTTAAAACAGAAGATAAAGGGAATATTAACATCATGAGGAATGTTTTTGGAGATCAACTTGTCGGATGTTGCCGAGCATACTGCAGTAGTTCATCAATATGTGTTGATTTGACATGTTTTATTTGTCTGTGAGCAAGATTACGTGAAAACTAACGAGCTGAGTTTCATGAGACTTGGCAGAATGGAGCAAAAGAAAAACCCACAAAATGTTTGTGTGGATCCGTATCACTGATCTTGGAGGAGGACCGTTCTCTCAGAGCGTTCTTCTGGTTATTTCAAACCAAACAAACACTCTTCTGCTCAAACTACACAAACAAACAGTCATTTAAAACTCGCCAAAATAAGCGTCCCATCTTTGCTGCTCTCTCTTTGTGTTCAGACTCATTGCAGGTGAAGCTGGGTGAGCTGCTGCCCAGGGTTCTGGACGGTTCCGCCGAGACAGTGGTGCTGAAAGACCCGCCCAAAGTCCACATGAACCAGGCCCACGACCTGTGCAGCCGCCTGGCCGCCGTCATGGAGTCCATCCACAACACCTCAGTAGTCATTGTCAAGTAAAGTCCTGAATAAAACCTCCCACGACCTCTTTGAAACGTGCAGCTTCACTGCGAGCAGCTCGGCCGACGGATCGATCTGAACTGAGAAACTGCAGCTGGAGGCCAAATTGTATATTTCTTTCTTCTTTTTTTTTGCAGGTCCTTAAAAAAAATTTTTCAAATTGATCAAGTTACAGCCTGGAAGCTTCCAAACAGTCAAAAACAGCACCAACAGTACCGAGAAGCCACGAGGGCTTTAGAACAGCAGCAGGTTTTGCAAATGAAGCCAATCAGGTGGCCGTCCACCATGTTTTTCTCCCATAATCTTCAAAACCAGATATCATCTACGTGTCTTCTGGCTCTTTCTGACTCTCAATACAAAGTTGTGAAGGTTTATACGAGTTCATTTACGCGTTTCACTCACCAGCCGAGCAGCTGGAAGCCCACTCGCCGATTAGCGAGACGTTAAATTCTGATTGGCACCCTGAAAAGTTCATATATGGGCATGTTTTAGCGAGCGGCTAGCTTGTTAACTTGAAATACTGGCAACAATTAGGCTGTCGCTCAACTCTGCAGGACGTGAAGGGACTGAAGGGATTTGTTGATTGTGTTGCTAAGCAGTGAATGCACAATGAGGCCTTTTGGTTTTATTTTTATTTTTTTTACAGGGCTTAAAAAACACTAGACGTGTACCCGCACAGTGACGAACACAGTTTATTAGCTTTTTTTAAATATATGTTTTATATTACTTTGTATTTTTCCAGAACAGATTTTAGGGAATTTTACATGTAGAAGGAACGATGTCAGCACTAGAACGCATCAAATCATTATAGCAGCAGGGTGTTCTGCTGGACTGTAGTCGTAGAGAGCGTCCTGTTGGACAGCAGCACCTTCACCACACAGACGTGCCTTTTATCTGCAAACCATGTAGACTGTTTGAGAGGAAGGATGCGGGACGGCAAGAGATGAAATCCTTTTTTTTTTTGTGTCCCAAATGCAACAGTTGAATCAGGATTTTGCGGCCAACAGCCACAAGCGGCTGCTGATCTCACTGTTTTTTCACTTGTACGCTATGATGATGCTCAATAAATGTTTTAAATACTCTCCCGGTGCTGCTGTAGTATTGATTTGGGTGGAAAAGGGTTGGAAGTTCTTCTTTCTTCTTTTAGTTTTTGGATATTTTTCATATTCCACGCAGTGATCTGTGGCATCGTTTGTCTGCATATCTTCAAGAAAAAGTTGTGCTGTTGTCCAAAATACAGTAAAAACACATTAATAAGCCTATAAATAATGATCCCACATTATGATGGACACAGATCCAGATTCATTCATTCAACCTTTATTTAAACTCTCAATACGCTGAAGGCCTCCTTTACAAGGTGGCCGAGTGAGAGAACAAAGGACGTCTGCTGCAAATAAACTCGACAATAAAGCAAAGTTAGCATAATAAAACATTAATTGGTGCATTTAAGATTCAAATAAAAGCAGCTGGAAGCTAAATAGGGTGAAATTTAAAAACCTGAATTGCCTAAAAGTTAAAAATGAGCTTTAGATTGTTTTGCAGCGTATTCAGGTGCACAGTCATTAAATACAAACTATTTTTCAAAATGTAAAAAAATGGTATATGTGCTATGTGGCATTTAGGTTAAAGTAGGAGCAACTTTAAAATTTAAAAATAAAATTAATTTTAAACATAAATAAGTATATATTGATCTACTAGGGAAGATGCTGCCTTTCCAGAGTTTACATTTAGATTTATAATGACAAAGCTGTCGTCTTTAATTACCTTCTAAATGTGTTCACTTAAACATGCGTCATTATGCACACGCTATACAGGTCTTTTAAAAGAAGATAGACATTGTTCTTATGGGGTTGCATTATCCCGGTTTACCCAATTTTCTGTTTTAAATGTTCCATTTTGTTGCATCATCATCTTTTTATAAGTTTTCAGGTGATGTATTTTCACTCTGATGCAAACTGCAGCGTCACACTTGGCCGGTGTTTTTATAATCCTCTGTTACGTCTAAAATGTTGCATGGAGGCGTCAAAAAGACAGAATGTGAGCATCACACGTCACTGCAGCTCCGTGAATCCATCCAGCCGACTGATAGATGTGCAGCTTCCTTCATCCTCAAACTACCATCCGACTGAATCCGACCGACACTGATGGAAACCAAAGATAAGAAGGAGCAGCCGACTTCTTCTTTTTACTGCAGAAATTACATACAGGAGGATTTCAGAGGATGTACAAACCCACTTTTATGGCTACTGAAGTGGAGAACCCTTTTTACAGGATGAAGATGTGTCGCTAACATCACCATGAAACATCCCCAGATGTTCACTTACACTGGAAAGCCTGCACAGTAATTCATGTTTTTGTTCTTTAAATGTCATCAGGTAACAATTATATCACAATTTAAACACATTTTATTCACGCATAAAGTCCGTTTTTCCTCCTACATTTTCACTTGTAGAAAAAAAACAAAAGCCACATGAATGAAACTTTACTCTGCAGTGAAACACAGAACATCTTTGGTGTTTCTTGCAGAGTAAAAGGTTTTAACATATATTCTACAGGTGACAGACACAGTCCCACCTCCACCTGTCAGTTTACATTCATGATGCACCTTTTTGGGATAACAAATGAAGAGTTCGTTTGCAAAAACATCTTCACAAACCTTCAGAAAATCGATTGTTCCATCGTCCAGCTGAGACAACACCAATCAAACTAAAGGTTTCTCTATTTTTGTCATTTCTACTCAGTCAAATCCGCTCAACTCCAGTTTGATTGATATCATCTCAAGCAAACAACAACAAAAAATAAGTTTTCTGAAAAGCTACAAAAATGCAGCTGTTTGTTTTTGCAAATTAACCTTTCAAATATTAAAATTACACTAATTAATCCTTGTGGTCAGCTCAGTGTAAACTGCTTTAAGGGCATTAGTGTGGTGAACAGGTAAAACACATACATATAATATCCTGTAGGTTACTAATCGTTATTTTGATTTTAAGAGTTTATGTCGCGGTCAGTTTGGTGCCAGGTGTTGGTGATGGGAGCAAGTTCACAGAAAACTGAACATTTTTGTCCAAGTTCAGCCTGATTCTAACCTACAGCAACAATACAGTGTGTTTTTATTGTTATCCTCTTCCTGTTTTCACATTTTGTTAAAGCCTACATAAACGCACTTCTGCGAATATCCTTCTGTTAGACTGTGAAGTGGAATAAAAACACCTGACAGTGAACACATCGGACTTTTACAGTAGCAGTGTAGCAGCCTGGCAGATGTGAAGGAGCTTTATTTGAGGACAGCTGCTGCATAAAGTTCTACAAACCGACACCGAGCTGACCACAAGACCAACTAGTCTCCTGTTTTATTTACGTGTCGCTGTGTCATTATTCTGAGGAACGTCAGATTCCTGTGGAACACGTTCGTCTTGGTCTGAAAAACACAGAATCTGTATTTTTCTAGGTTTAGCTCCTGCAGAGCTGGACGGGCCTGCGGAGGACAGACTGTGGTTTGTGCATCTCCAGCTGGAGGGACGTCTTCATGGTGAGCACCAATCTGGCTTTCTAGAAAACAAACGTCCACACGAGCTGCTGCTGCTGCTGCCAGACTGTAATTTTCAGCTACTGTAGCCCTGATAGGTTATTTGCAGCAGATACGTCACCGCAAAGATCTCTTTAAAACGTGCTGATGTCTTGTTTTGTTGGTGCCAGACTCGGTGGTTCGGTGGTTTCTGAGCTGTGGGTTGTAAGCGTCACCTGAGTGCCACTAGAGGTCGCTGTGTCTCAGGCTGAGCTGAGAATGTAGATTTCTACAGCGTTGTTTCAAGAGTTTATTTTATTAAATGCTGTTAGATGTATATAAGCATTTAAAAGAAGTTGCATCTGCATCTAGAAAGGCCTGCAAGGTGTTTAAAATCATTATGTGGACTGATCTTTCAGGTTTATATATGATTCCTGTTTGAATTAGACTGATTAATAGTTATTATTGTGAAATTTAAAAGTCCAACTGGGCTGTAAATGTTAAAATCTACACTGTGTACAGTTCCTCTGGTAAATCCTTGAGCTGCGCTGTTGCTGCTCTAAAAGAAATCAAATAGCTGAAACTACTTTCCTTATTTTTTGTGATTGTACAACTTTTTAAACAAATTTTTACAACATAGTTTGAATATTTTAGTTTCCTAAAGCACAATCTAAAAAGTGGATTTTTCCCCCCACAATATTTAAAAAACAGAAAGTGATTTAACTTCATAATTCCTTTTATGTGAAAAGCTCAGTGACTGAATGGCTCCATCTAGTGTCCAAAAGAAGAATGACACTTCAAAGCCTTCTGCATGACCTCCATGTTCTCCTGCAGCAGACGAGGTGAACATGTGGACTGACTGGACGTCCAGCTGCAGGCGATGCAACTGAACAAGCAAATCTGAGCTCATTCCTTCATCATATCACACACTGCATCTAGAAACAGTCGTCTGCATTTCGTGTCAGAACAACAAACGTCATCAGGGTTTGAAAATAGAAAAATCACACCTCATGTTGTCATATTTTATAAAATGTGAAGAACTACTGCTTTGATTCAAAATCCGTATCAATTGATGAAATGGGACCTTGAAAAAGGACATTTAGCAAAAAAAGAATGTAGGAGTTTAAATTATGGATACAAGAATGATGTCCTCTATTTAGAACTGGAGGACACTTATAGGAGCAAATTCCTACATTAACTTTAAGTGTACATAAAAACAAAATTCCTGCCTGAACTCGTCTGATAAGCGACAACAACAGCACGTCCCAAGAAGTGCGTTTGTTTTGTTGCACTTTAAGCCTTGTGATAGTTTTGCTATTATCAAGATGTCAGTGAAACGTTTAGTAGGAAAACAAGTGACTGCTGCTCCAGAAAACAGACGTTTATTCGTCAGAAACCAGCAGTAAAAAATAAATAATACAGAATGTTAATCACGACCCTGAAAGTCCTGAGTTTTGGTCACGATTGAACATTTTTTTTCTTGTTGTTTTTATTTCTTCTCCTCTTCCTTCTCCTTTTGTTTCTCCTCTTCCTGTCGTTCACGGCCAAACTCAACCACCAAAGGTTTCCCTAGCAACCGGTATCCGTGGACCAACTGCAAGGCATTCTGGGCCGCTTCAGCGTCTGCCAAGGGAGGAAAACAAACACGCCTCGTAACGTCTGCTGTGGACGGTTTGAGGGCAAGTGCACTGCTCGGGCTGTTTTCGTGTCGAGGCGTTTCTCACCTGGCAGCGTGATGAAGGCCTGACCCTTCATCCTCCCCGTCAGCAGCCGGTAAACCACCGGCGGCCCGTCGCTCTGCTCGAATCTGGAGAACAGCGCCACCAGCTGGGCCACCGACGCCTGAGCACTCAAGTTCTTCACGCACAGAACCTACGCACAGAAAATAAAACTCCTTAATGCGGCTGCAGATGCTTCAGAGACACTAAAGCACGTCTACGTTGTGTTCTAACGCCTGATTAACCAAATAACACGTCTGACCACGTATTATATCACCGTCACAGAGTTAAACGCGTATTTAATGTTACATTAACACTCTGAAAATGTAATTACAGCAAACAGCGGTCATCGAGTTTGATTTCTGAGTCAGTGGTTCTCAACCTGCAGCTCTTTAAGAGCTTTAATTACTGTGAGATGATTATTTCATCTCAGTGCACTAATCTACGACAGTGTTAAAGCTGGAGCAAACAGAGTTAAAAATCAGCACTGTTTACGTTCTCCCTACGGGAAGTGTAATGGCTTTTTAATTGTTAAATGAGTTGTGCAGGTCTGACTGAACGCTGTGACTTTTCACAAAACATGGAATCACTTTAACAGAAGTTCGTATATACTCTGCTGTCAGAGTCCACGTGAGGGAAACACATCGTACATGTCAAACATACGGGCTGGTGGAGTTCAGCTGTTTTTAAGCATTTTAGCGTTTAGCATTTTTTAGTGTTTAGCCGTAAATGGTGGCTTGATGTCACGGCGAAGTCGTCCTTATGACACCATCAGAATCTGGTAGGAGGAGCAGCCCTCTGACGTGACCTCACACGGTCGAGCCTCGCATCGGTTTAACGTAACGCCGGCTGATGCTAATGTCATGTCAGTGAAATCCATGGGAATATTATATGGGCATCAATATAGCAGAGATATTGAATTATATGTAGATTGAATACATATACATAAAGTAGTTTGTAGGACTCGCCTGCAGCATTTCAGAGCAGAAAATACTGTTCATGTTTTCATGATTCTGAAACCAAATTTTATAAACTTGCTGTTTTTTGTTTTTTAATAATTCAAATTTGGTTGATGTGTGACTAACTTAGAGTACGTATTAATTAAAGGTTTAGAGAGATGGAAGTGCGTCCTTTCACGTGGAAACAACAGCTGTGAGCATTTCTAAACTGATTTTCTTTACATGGATCTAAACATTTTTTAAACATCTTCACTGGTTTTGAGTGCAAAATAATATTTGTTATTAATTTATTATTATTTATTAATATTCTGCCCGCTCAATAAACTGTTTGAACTGCTGCCATCAGGAAAACGTTTCCATAGCATTAAAGGAAGAACCTCCAGACTGATCAACAGTTTCACTCCACACGCTGTCAGAACGCTGAACTGCTCATCCAGACATGCAAACACCTCTGTATTTAATTGCTTTTAGTTTTTGGATCCTGAAGAAACGCTCTCTCATCTTGTTCGTACGACTGTTGTATGAACAGAAACATGACAGTAAACTTGATTTGATATTTCTCTATTGATAAATAGATTTTTGCATGTAGCATTAGCCCTGTAGCTAACCTTAAACAAATGGCTCGACCATTATCACAACAACAAAAGCTTTGTGGTTCAGTAGATGTAGCTTCTGTAACCTTGGAGGGTTTTCCCGGCTGGTAGTTTCTGAACCTCGGGATGTTTCGGATCTCCTCTTCAGATTCACGGTTCCTCAGGATTTCTTCATCTGTCACCGTCTCGATCTCCCCTCTGACGGTCAGCGGCCCGCCTGGCCTCGCCGTCGCCGCTCCACGCAGGTGGCCAATCGGCTGGCTGATGTTAATGTGTGTTGGAGCAGCAGGTGGTGGCTGCTGTGGAGAGCTCTGCTGCTCTGAGACGTCTGAACCAGACCGTGATTGGACCGACAGGGAATTTCTTTCCTCGTACGGTTCTGACTGACGCTCTGATTGGGTGTTGTCTCTCTGTGAGTGCTGTGATTGGTCAGATACAGTTCTGTGTGTGGACAGGTGTGATGCTGCCGTTGGTTCTCCATCCGAGTTCTGCTGTGAAGCTTGTTTCTCCGTCCTGAGAACGTCTCTGTAGAGGGAATCCATCGGGTCAGAGGATGACGCCCCCTGCTGGCTCTCCTGCTCCTCTTCATCTGTGAGGGAAGCAACACAAGTCACCTACATGACAGTATCAACAGGCTCAAGTTTTATTTATCCTTCTGTTCTAGAACTGATTACTTTTGCAGAAATCTATACCACGCTCTTTGTGGTGATCACTCCAAAATCAAAGGACTAGCTTCTGCTGTCTGTACTGAATTTAAACATAAAATAAATGCAACTTAAAAGAAAAACTTTGAACATTAAAGAAGCTGTCGTCTCTCAGAAGACAAACCAACAATGACTGGCTCCTGTGTGGCAATTACACAAAGAAACCACAACAAACGACTTCTGAAACTGAACTAAAAATGTGTGACGACTACAATTTCCGGCGTGGAAAACAAACATCAGAATTCTTGTCTTGCTGCAAACTCTGCTCTAAAGCGATCAAGAGTCTGTAATCTAATTTACTGCATGTCTTTGAGTTTCTGGCAGCTCCTGCAGAACTTTAAATGTCTTAAAATTCAGCTTGTCCTGTCCCTACAGGTTGGACAAACAGTGTTTAGTTTGCTGCTCTCACGCGCTCCGTACCTCGATGGTAAAGTGCGGTGAGGAAACCCAGACGGTCGGTCCCCTGGAACAGCGCTTGTTCGATCTCCATCTCCCGCCGTGACAGCGGGCGGCTGGCGGCGAAGCGCTGTGGCCGGGACAGGAGCTCCGCATGGGCTTCAATCTTGTCTCTAATCACCTGAAGGCGCTGCTGCTTTGCACCCGGAGCTGCACACACACCATGGGACTGTGTGGACGTAAAAGAGGGGTTGGACATTAGTTTGTTGGATGATGTTCATACACAGGATGTGCATCAGGGATCGACCAGGGCCAATACTGATACCGATTATTGGTAATCAAGAAAGACTGATGTATCCCCTGAAGTTACGTCTTTTGTTCATCTTCACTACTCTGTTACTTCCATTGCCCATAAAAGGCTCAAATCTCAAAGCATTATTTGTTTTGTTTTCCAGATGCGGTTTCGGGATAATCTGTGGCTGCCTGCTAACTAAGCTGTAGCTGTAGCTGTAGCCACAGAGAGGACTGTGATGATGGCTGTGCTTCTTGTTCAGTTGTTGCAGGTTATGTCCCAGCTACATAAATATGTCTATCAATTAGAGCAGATTGTTAAAGTTAATCTTACTTTAAACAGACGTTACAGTTGTCTAGACAGCATTAACTGCAGGCTAACAGGCATATCAAACCTCTTAGTGATAGTCGTAGCCTCGCACTGTTAGCAAAATAAGTGGCAAGTACATGATCCAGACTTGTGACATAGTCCTGTGGGTGAACACTGCTTCAGAGTGACCACAGACAGAGCGAGCTGTCTGCATCAGAGCACATTTAACTTCATTTATTTTACTGGTAATTGTATAATTAAACTAACGATATGGATAATTGAAAAAAATGCCGATTATCAACCCGATAATCTGCTGTTAATCAGTCGATCACTAATGTGCATGTTAATCCACACGACCTGAATGACATGAAGTGCATAAAAATCAAAGCAATCCCAGAGGGAACCGGGTCCTCAGTCAAACCCAGCTCCTCCTGTTCTGAGCCGTCTTTCTGTCTCCAGGAGGTTTTACCTTCTCTGGTGCATCTCTGCTCTGCCACAGCTGGATCTCAGCGTCGGTGAGGCCCAGCTCCCTCAGGCTGGCCAGCTCCTGCTCCCCGTCCTGCAGGGCCTGGAACTGGGTGAGGCTTCTCACTCCCGCTGCCTGCTCTCCAAACGGCCGATAGAGCGCCGCCGGGGCGAAGCACTGCCTCTTGGCGACACATCTGTGAGGCAAAATTGATTTTGAAATGAGAGCAAAACCAAGAACTTTTAAGACTCACAGCTCTGCTGCAGCTACATCAAAGACCGCTGGGTTTTAAAGTCCCATGGCCTAAATGCTGCTTCAGATGTTTCACAAAAAGCAACGCGTATGATTCTGTAGCCCTTGAGAGTTGTCGATAAAAACCCTCCATGCTGCTCCGTGCGACACTGAACGGTACATAGCAGAGAATTTGACTTACAAGTGCTACTATCAAATACCAGAATTTAAAACCTTCAACTTTGTACTAAATGCTTAATATTTTGCTGGTGTGCAGTAGGTTTTTCACACAATGCATTGCTGGATAGATGCTACAGCACTGCTAGAGGTCATATTGTGGTACGTGTGGTGTTGTATCTATCTCAGTGTGTGTCTGCACCACTGAAAGCTAATCTATATGGACTGAAGCACACAGAATGCAGCCTGTGGTCATAATAGGGTGTTAAACTGGGCTGGACCGTAAATCCCTGCTGTTCAATCGATTACGCTGATGGTGTTTAATCAAGCCGTTTTGAGAAGATTTAAATTTAGCTTTAACTTTTCTGCAGACATCATGTTTTCTTAATGGTATAAACCCGTCATCTGCAAATACAAACAGACAGTTTCTGACCGATCGATGTCGACGTCGGTGTGGAGCTGCTGCAGTAGGAGGCTGTGGAGCTGCCGCTGGCCCTCCGTCTCCTGCTCCTCCAGCAGCGGTCCATCCTCACAGGGCCGCCGGCTCACTCTGACAGATCCAACACAGACACACATCAGCTCAGAGGCTCGGTAAACACTGATGCAGCGGTAGGATAAGGACACAGCAATGATCATAAGCAGAAAAGAGTGCTACTTTCAAAGATATTTCTTGCATTTTGCCACTATTTAGTAGAGACAATCAGGAAATGTAAGGAGAGCAAGTAGGTGGATGACATGTAGTAAAGTTCTAACTGGCTCGGAATTAAACTGTGGACTCACTGCTGACTGCACATGTACCAGTCTACAATCTTAACCTTAATATTTAATTTAGTCAGGTACATTTGTATTTACACTGTTGGTTCCTAACCTTGACATTTAAGTTAGTGCAGTTAAGTTGTATTGTGTGTGACACTGTGGAGTCTTAACTTATATAAATCAGTCTTGTGAATTTGCATAATTAACAATACTATAGGTGTGTAACCTTAGCATTTCAGTTAGTCAGACTGATCTGTATTATACTTCAAGGTTTTAGCCTTACTGTGTAGAATAATGGCAAATGTGTGTATTCTATAGCATTGTAAGTTCTTAACCTTAATATTTAATTTAGTCAAGTAAATCTGAATCTACATAACACTGTAGGCCCTTAACAGCAACGTTTGAGTCACTCAGGTAAACGTACATCATAGATAATACTGTATGATCGTAATATTTAGGCTTGTTGGAGACATTCGTAACGCTAATCCTATTTCACTACTGAAAAACAGTAAATATGCATTGAAAATAACAGTTACGTGAGTGAAAAATGTTACAAGGACAGCATTTAGAGATGCGGCAGTGCGTCTACGGTAAGCTGTGGGTCTGCAGAATAGATAAATAATAATGCAGATGTCCTATTCAGCTGATTTTAAAGCAATATCGCGGAAAACCAAACGTGTAGCCGCTAGCCAACACATAAGCTAACGCTAGCTTAGACGGCTGTAGCTATCTCCATGACAACAGCAGTTCCGCGAATAATCGACGTAAAAAGCACGTAACGTCCTTAAGCTGCTATTTTCATGTAAACCACTGACGCTAAATTGGGTCTAAACCGACGTTAGTTTGATTAAAATGCCACCATTTGTTGAAATTACTAGTGCAGAACACGGATGAGGGAAAGTTCTGTTTACCTCCGCATGCTTCCGGTTCCAGTGGCAGTGAGGAATCATGGGAAATGTAGTAGAATCCACCCAGGCTGCTACTACAAGCGGTGTTTCGTGTCGACGGTGGCGGAAAATAAATTAAAAAAAAATAATAAGAACAATAGCACAGTTTAGCTGGATGGGAAATTTTATTTGATGCCAAAATGTTAAAAATCATATTGCATTTTTAAAATATTATTATTATTTTCAGTGTAGCTCTCTTATGTGGGATTCAGTCCTAATATGCATGCATTATTATTCTTTTATTTTTTATTCCTGTTGCGTAATATTCCATAAAGAAAGAGGAACATAAATCTTAAAGACACCTGCCACACCCCTGCTTTATTACTGAGGGTGTGGTGGCAGCCACGTCTTTCATTAGCGCTCCCTGCCTGTTCCTCCATCGCTCCCTGCCTGTACACGGTGTCTCATTTATCAAACGTAATGCTGCAAAGCCTTACTGAATATACTCTAAAGCGCTGCCACCCTCCCCGCCCAGCTGAAGTGTCCTCAATTAGCCTGCTGGCTGACGTCAGTAAGGTGACATGGGTGCTTCTCTCTCCATCTCCGCGCAGCCAGCAGCCAGCCAGCCCGCTGCTGCAGCATGGCATGCGGGCGAGGAGAGAGGTGCAATTAAAATTTCTCTCCCACCCCCCCTCTACCCGCACCTCCCGCCCCTCCAATGCATGTATCCGTGCCTCCGTCCCCGCAGCGGCTCCTCTCCCGCGCCGCTGCCCGCCCGCCCTGCCTCGCGCGCCGGGTCGCAGCTCGGCGCCGCTCCGCTCCTCTGCAGGGCTGCGCAGCTCCTGACTGACAGAGAGATGAGGGGTGGGGACGCAGGGTGGGGTCACAAGCAGGGAGAGGCGGAGGAGGAAAAGGCAGAGAGAGAGAGCCCAGCCCTTGAATACACGGCAACAACACGCCGACAGAGAGAGAGGGAGACACACTGAGAGACTGGCTGTTTTTTGGGGGCAGCGCAGGGAGCCTTCGACGCTGCGGATATGAACTGAACAGCAAAACACTGGAAGAGGCAGGGATCGCGGTGCTGTGTCCCGAACATTTGACTGTAAAGGTGGAAAACGAGCCCCCCTTCTCCCTCTCAAACACCCTCCTCTCTCTCCCCTGACAGTTCGTATTCAGATAGAGCTACACCCAAAGCCCCGGCCGACCCCCTCCTTGCTCCTGCTGCTCCACCCCTCCGCCGCTGCACCGCTCCGGCAACCGAGATGCACACGGAGACCCGTAACAAGAAAGTAAGTGCACGTTATTGGCTTTGCCCTGGTGGTCAGTGGACAAAAAAAAAAAAAGACAAAAAAAAAAAGAAAGAAAGCATCTACCTGTGTGGGTGATCTGCTGCCTGTACACAAGCAGAGCTGTCAGCTCAACATGTGCCAAATATGAATGTCAGTGAATGTGTGGCAGCTTATTTTGCAAAATGAGTGCAGGAGTTTGGTGACATTGCATTGTGAGAGCATGAGTCCTGTCATTTCCACTCTGTGTGTGTGTGTGTGTGCGCGAGGTGAGTTCAGGTTCAATTTGAAATGCTCTGTGATCTCTGAGAGGCAGGAAGGAAACGGAAGGCAGCAACTGCAGCTTGCAGGACACCATCTTAGCTTTTAAAGGGCCAGCAGCCTCTTTTTTTTTTTTTTTCCAAACACAAACACAGCGACCTGGGAAGCAGCCAGGTGCACTGCCTCCAGCCTGCAGCTCTGCATGGGCCCCTGCTGCCGACTTGTGCCTTTAAGTGAAAAGCTGCTCCTACAGTGTCAGTTAGGCTGGCACCCTGCTCCAAAGTAAATTAAACTTGGCTCGCGATCAAACTGTTATGGAGTACAGAGCTGAGAGCCGACACCGGTGTGTGTGCATATCCTCGGCTCCTGCAGCTCCATTTCTGCTCCTTTCTGATGATCTGAAGGCGAGGCGATGGAGATCGGTTACACTTTGGTGCTCGACGTCCAACTTCCTCGTTGAAGAGGTGAACTCTGACCTTCCAATTTGCGCGGAGGACCAGAGGCATCGCTCCGTCTCTTGATTTATCCTGTTTTCATTTGAGTTTTTGTCTGGTCTGAAGCCTATCGATTAAGTTTTGTTGTTGTGGTTGAATCGGTTCATTCAAAAGGATGCAAAATCACGAAGACGATGCCTTCAAACCGCCCAGCCAGCAGTCCAAATCACAGAGATGTTCAATGCACAAAACAGAAAACATCACATTGGAGAAGCTGGACCTATGGCGTCCCTTTGTCATGAGCAGCAGAATCCAACATTATCGAGTAGTTGCAGGTGACGAGTCGAGCTGCAGCTGATTATTTTCATTCTGTTGGTGCTTTTTTCTCGATTAATCGATTCGCTGTTCGGTCTGTAAATGTCAGAAAATGGTAGAAAGTGTCCAACAGTGTTTCCCAAAGCCTGAGAAGATGTCCTTAAACGCCTCGTTTAAGAAAGGAACCAGAAAATATTCACAGTTAAGAAGCTGGAATCAGAGAAATGAGAGATTTAAGAGATAAAAATGTACTTTGAAGTTGTTGGGGATTCATTTAACAGCTGACACCTCATCGAGTGGGAAAGTGTTGAAAGAGGTTGATCCAAGGTGTGTGTTTAACCAGCCGCCGCTCACTAGAGCTGCAGTGATTAATCGATTACTCATCGGCTCTTCATTTCATCGCCAAACGCTTTGATGAGCCATTAATCGGTCGTTTTTTTTTTAAGAGGCGAAAAGACACAAATGCTCCGATTCCGGGTTCTAAAATGTGAATATTTTCTGGTTTCTTTCCTGCTCTTATGACGGTAAACTGAATATTAGCAGGTTGTGGACAAAACAGGTCATTTAAGGACATTTAATTGTTTTCTGACGTTGTAAAGAACTGATCGGTTTGTTGATTAAATGATCAAAAAATGAAACAGCAGTGACAATGATCGTTGCAGCTCCAGTGCAGTATACTTGGATTTAGCCCAACTTGTATTATTTTGCTGTATTTTAAGTCATAGTGCTGCAACAAAACCTCACTTCTAAGTATGTTTGTGCGACTGTTGTGGCGTCAGTTATTTATTTAGTTTGTCAGTAAAGGGCCTGACATAATGAGCACCGATGCTACGTTTGATTTATTGTAATTTTTAGCGCTTCCTCCTTTTTATTTTTAATTCCATTTCGAGAAACGGTTGGATCGTCACTTTCAGAAAGCGTCAGGCCCGATAGTCTAGTAGATGCTGTAAACAGTGCAGGAACCATCTCCCTGTTTGTGGAGCGATTATCGGACTGTAATATAATTGAGGTTAAACAGCAGCGTGGTCGTGCAAATGAGCTGCTGTGGAAGGAAAAGATGTTCCAGGTTATCTCACTTCAGCTTCAGGATGTCCTCGGTTCATAACAGTCTGCATGATGCAACATTCTCCCGTCTCTTTAGACCTTAAAATCGGAGCTCCGCCTCCAGGTAAACTCGGGTTACCAAAGCTAGCGGGGCTAGCCGTGCCCTGCTTGAGTGTCTCCTTTGTTAAAATCTGTCTGAGTGGTCAAAGTGCTCTGGACTCTGGGGGCAAACATGTGACTGCTCTGCTCAATGAAGGGCTTTTAACTGAAAGTGGAAACCAATAGATCCGCCTGCAGCCTTGTGACCGAAGAAGATCGCGCTTAGCCTCCGCGCCGCGTAATCCTGCCATTTTAACAGTTCGCAACCACCGTAAGAAGCTTTCAGCCTGCAATAAACTAAGTGAGGTGTTCTCCCCGGCCCTCCCAGTGCAATTATAATTAGCCTCAGATGAATCCATTAAATAGAAAGGGACATTTATGACTTGTGCTGCGTTCAGGGGACTCTGAGTCACAAGCACTTTATTTGCCAAATACAGTAAATCTGCATGAATTTGCAGCCGGCGTTGAACTGCAACTTTGGTGGTGGTGGTGGTGATGGGGGGGTTTGCAAAGTGCATGTAATTGCTAATGTTTCATGTCGACATTTCAGACTGAAGCGTGTTTAAAACCAAAGGTCGAAGCTGCAGGATTGGAAGAAAAAACAATCAGTCCGTTTCCTGGTTGCAAGCAGCAGCTGACAGCTAAGAGTTAAAGAGTGTTTTCTGTCTGCACATACCATATATGCATGCACCCTGTGGGGATGTTGCTGTGGTTTTTTCTCTGCTATACTTCTGTGAGGTTGAGAAAATGCCTTTCTTACAAGTTTGCACTTTTTACTTCCCCCCCCAGCAGCCAAAGCAAACATTTAGTAGAAAATATAACGCAGGTCAACGGTTAAGCTGTTTAATGCACGTTAATGTCACTTCATAGCAGCAAAGCAGACGTTTATTAGCAGTATTGTGAGTTATTACGTCCGTCACCAGCTCTAGGACTCGATGTGAAGCTGAACAAACAACAGAACGTGACGGACGGCGCAGCAGCAGCAGCAGTGATGAAACGCGTTTCTTTTTCTCTCTCTTCTTACTTTCCGTTTTTACTTTTACCTCTGACCCACATAGCAGTTTGCGTGGGAGAAGAAAATCAATTTCCGCCCATCGTAGTTAGAGCTGTCAGTTATGGTAAGTGGTGACTGATAGCG